TCCTGAACACTGTGTAAAAGGAAATGAGGCTTGTTAGAGTTGTTCAATGTCTGTTTTTATACAGATTTATTGAAACAGTTTGCACGTTTCAGTAAACCTTTGCACCTATTTCTGATTTTCCTAGCAAATATATATATATATATATATATATATATATATATATATAAAAATAAGGGTTGGGTCAAGATTTTGTTTTGCACAGCCCTCTTGAACATTTCTTTACCAAATATAGTTATGCGTTTCAGGGTTCTGTGAAACAGTAATTAATATTAATTTAAAAGGAAACAAAGTACAAAACTTATCAAAAGGATTTCATCAGTAACGAGTCAGCTGCTGGCTGAGGCTTCGTGGCGCAGAGACAAGAGAGTGGTATCAATCATTTCAAGTCACTCTGACAAGTTAACTGATGATGTTTCCTTTGAGTCCCAGTGTTTGCAGGCCTGTTCTGGTGCATCCAGTAGATGCTTGATCAGATCGGTATGCGGGGAGTTTTTAAAGTTAGTGAATGTCTGGACTAATGGTTTCCGAGCAGGACTTTACACTGCATCGGGACCATTACCTGTCAGCTATTTAAATGTTTGGCCTGATCGGTGCTGTTACATACCTTATGTTAACTTTCCAGGAATATATTTCACAAACTACTTAACAGGTTACTGTGAAGACACCGCTGTGATGCAGATAAAGCTCTAAGAGAGAAAGAACACATCACAACATTGCTCTCTGTGATGTGCTTTTAGTTTATCTTAGAATTTCAAGAGTACTACTTGAAACATACAGAACAATAACTCACACTTGATAAATTTATATGCTGTCACATTGAAAGCTAAACAATGGGTAAAATGTTCCAGTGACTGCTTGAGTAATGCTTTCCTACCCTTTTAAAGTACTTTATTAAAAAAAATCTTCCATTTATTAAAAGTACTCTCAACTATAAATTGGGAAACTTTTCATGATCTCCTTGAGTGTCTGTTTCACCTTTACCAGAGGCGAGTGTTTGGGTGGGACGGTATGAGTAAGAACTGTGGGAGACATGGTAGAAGTGTTTATTTCCACCTACCAGACAATGCTGTCCCAATGCTTTATTATGACAGTGGAGGTAGAGTAAGTTTGTGAGTCAGTGAAGGGGAGGACAGGTCAGTCTGTGGGCAGAGGCCGGACTCTTTGGCTCATAACCTGGAGAAGAAGTCGGATAGAGCTAAATCACTTTTTTAAAATGGTTTGTTTTGGATGGTGATGTACCAGTTTAACAGTTCACCACACAGACAAACTGCTTTCCATCCACAGTCGTTTGGCTCAGGCTAGTTGACTATTTTTAATCATTTCTCCTGTGGAAGAAACAAGTAACTGCTCTCTCCTCTGCTAATGCTTAAAAAGAAAGTTGACATGGTCGCTCTCTACCTGGATAATGAATAATAGTCATATGTCTGGTTAGCCTGGAAATAAAACGTGATATAATGCAGATACATGCTTTTTTCCAATTACTGAATAATTGCTGTCCTTGACCAAAGCCAAGAGGAAGACACGCAAGTTAAAACTTGGAATGATGTGCCACGTTTTTCTCCCTGTCTGCACGCTCTCCTAAAGAGGTACGTCATGATTTAGTTTCACTCTGCACTATCTGACAAGAGCTTCTCTGTGACGGTTCAGTGCCAAGCCTGGAATCAGGTTAAACTCTCTGCCTTGTTTTAGGGGTATTTTTACAGCATGGCAATCTGTATTTGTGTCTCGCCGAAGTAGTAATCCCTTTGTTTAAATTTTACTTTACCTTGTTGTATTAAAGGTTCTTCTATATGGGAAGAATCAACATTAAACTTAACATTTCTGCCTTTGTTCAGACGTTCAATACAAGACAATGTTTTTGAGGGGTTAAATCTGTTACCTTCCAGTTTCAGGACATTTACTTTGGCTTCTGATTTATCTAGCTAATAATGTCGAGTATCTTTTTATATTTCAAGAAAAATCCAATTATCTTTGCAGATAATGAAGTATCTAAATGTAGGATTATTTCCATGATAGTAAGTCTAAAAAATGTCCAAACAATCTAATTAATGTCACATTTAGTAATAAAAGGTGATTTTTTTGTGCACCGTTACATATTTTGCAGTGAAGTAAAATGATTGTAAAAGAAAAAAAAAGCCAGAAAAACTCAATAGTCGTCACTATTATAAATAAAAAAAAGAGCCATGTAGTCTTGAAACTAGTTCATTTGCATTGGATACTGGTGATATTAAATCACCACTTGGCAGATAATTTGCTTTTTGAATTTGGGACTCAGTTTTGGATTCAAATGTTGAGATTTAAAAAATTAATGTTTTTGACTGTCACAGCTGTCAGCGCTGGCAACGATCGTTTGGTATTTGTAAAGTAAAAAACCCACAGAGACTGCAAATGGATGATTTTCTGACCTGCGTCTCATTTTACTCACCGCGTTTTGGCTTTGTGCTGCAGGTTATAACAAGTTAAAATCCCGTTTTCTCTCCAGGTCACTAAAAAGAATGAAATATCAGCCAGAATATGACAAAGAATATAAAATTCAAGTAGCAAGAGTATTTTGCCACTGTGGCTGAAGTGATGCTTCAGGTTTTACCAGCATGTGTCAAGGGATGCCTATTTTTTTAACCGCCACAGCAAACTGATTGATTGCAATAGTTTGCATGGACATTAATCATTCCCTGGATTTACTATAATATCTCATTTATACCCCTTTTTTGTCAAGCACCACAATAAGGTCACAAACTGTGGTCTATGACATGCAAACCTAATGGCATTCCAAGCTTTGCTTTGCAAACGTGTCTGCACAGTTCAAATACATTAAGTGCACCAGCTAAGTATGCGTCCCTCGAGTGGACTCAATGTGGACAAGTAAAATTAAAAAAACCCAACTACTTCCAGCAAAAAATGGGTTTACAGAGCTGCTTGCATGACTACATACCTTGGTTTTGTGTTTAGAATTTAAAAAATTGCTTAATCACCACTAGTGAGATGACACAATTAATCCGTTGATGCATCTTCTGGTTACTGAATTTCCAATATGCATTAGTAAATTGCTGCATCTTTCCCATTTCCCTTGCAAAATATAAAGAAATGAGATGTACATCACGTGAAAAATTATTTTAGTGTAGACTTTAGTGTATACTAAAACGACCTCTAGAGGGCGATCTAGGGGCGATCGTGGCTCAAGAGTTGGGAGTTCGCCTTGTAATCGGAAGGTTGCTGGTTCGAGCCCCGGCTTGGACAGTCTCGGTCGTTGTGTCCGTGGGCAAGACACTTCACCCGTTGCCTACTGGTGGTGGTCAGAGGGCACGGTGGCGCCAGTGTCCGGCAGCCTCGCCTCTGTCAGTGCGCCCCAGGGTGGCTGTGGCTACAATGTAGCTTGCCATCACCAGTGTGTGAATGTGTGTGCGAATGGGTGGATGACTGGTTGTGTAAAACGCTTTGGGGTCCTTTGGGACTAGTAAAGCGCTATATAAATACAGGTCATCTAGAATAGATTAAGGTTAAGGTATACATAAGTCAAAATTCCTAGGAAGCTGTTGTCAATAGAAAATATTTCAAGTCTGATTGTACTGGCAGTTTCTTGTTTTTTTAAAGGCAGAATAAACAGAAAGTTACAGACTTCAGAGATGATGATTGTGTTGGGTTCTCACTCCTTGATAACAAGAGTAACACTAATTCAAAGCCACAGAGGAGTTTAGAGTATGTTTGATGAAAACGTCTGGTGTGTATATGAGATCCAGTTGTCTACCAGCTCATTCATGACATCAGAAATTTGGCCTAGTTACAATGTACCCTTTGCTCATGTCTTTCTGATTAGACGTTCAGAGAAAATCTGTCTCCAAGCAACATTTTTTAATGTTTTTCAAAATAATAAAAAAAAAAAAACGTTTTGAAGTTGGAGGCTGGGGCCAGGAGGGGGTGGGGGGGAGGTTACAATGAGAGAAGCATGAAAGCTCAATGTAGATCACTTCGCAAATGGCCTCAGATAGTCTGATATGAGTTGGCAAGTGAAGGTTGGAAAACTGTGTCCTTTTTTTGGTAAAGTACCTGCTCTTGATGCTCTGTTGGCTTCAACTAGATCTCTTCTAGTCACTTTTGAGACCTTGGGTATGAAACACATTTGATAAAAGTTTTAATCTGCAGGATATTTTTATTTTCTTTTTGTTTTTTTTTACCTTTTATAAAACACATGTTTAGAATAAAAAAAAGCATAATCATCACTAGCGAGATGACACAGTTGCTTCTTGTGTTTTCATGTTGGAATACTGAAAATAATTTCAACAAGAGTTGGCTCAGGTACACAACTGGGACACTGCTGCTCAGTACACACCTACTCTCTCCACTCACTAACACAAAACTCCATCTTTCTGGCAAAGTTTGTACTCCCTGAAATCCTTTAGAGCTTAAATATATCTGAGGCAGCTGTAATGCCAAGGACCATTACTGCTGTCAGAAAGAAGGCCGTGTTCCAACAGTACAGTATAATTGACTCACTAATAGATCATGAGTGATCTTGGGAGAGGGGAAGAAAGATTCCTATTGGAGAGTGTGGTTTGGCTACTTTGAAACTTAATCAAGGTTGAACCTGTCTTCAGCCAAAGATCAATTACATAAATTAGCCTCTAGGTCAAGCTTCAGTGCAAAACAATCTTGTCACGTCGACTTAAAAAAAAAAAAAAAAAAAAAAGCAAGGCAGCAGCTGACAAGTGTTTGAGAAAACAGAAATGTTTTGAGCAAAATAGGCAAGTGACCCGTGAGTCCAATTTGTACGTTAGTTTGGCATAACCTCAGATTCAGCTGAATGCTGCCTTTGTTCAGACATAGGGGAGCTAGAAAGAGAAGACGCCAAAAAGTAAGAACAAACCAATTTTTCAAGGGATGACAAAAAAGTTCCAAAGTCCCTAATCTCAAAATGTGTCTGTCCCATTATATAAAATCTGAAGTGAGTTAAATGTGTATTGCACCAGTGTTATGTTAACATGTTGCTGTATTTGTTGTTGCAGTGGCTGATTGGAGACAGAGACAGGGACTGTGGGATCACCTGCTCACGGACGGGGAAGCCGGTGTGTGGTTCAGACGGGCGGAGCTATGACAGCAACTGTGAATTGCAGAAGGCGCGCTGCAAAGATAAGACACTCACATTAGCACACAGAGGCCGGTGTCGAGGTGAGAGCTAAACTCTGGTCAACTCTGTGCAGATACACGGAGCTATTTTCAGGGTGCATTCAAGAAAATTGAGATGTAGGATTCATCTGTTTTTTTTATAAATGTAAAAAGTGATGATGTTTACATGAATGTTTTCCTGATGTCTGTGTTTACACAATCCATTTCTCACACATAACAGTCCACAGCTATCAGTAAAAGTCATACATGCATTTACATACATCAACGGGCACACAACAGGTACAATAATAAGTCAGACACAGCACTAATGAGAGGTGTTGGGATGAAGGTTGGTTGCAAAGCAGCTTGCAGGTGCATAGCAACTTTAGGTTGGATAAAAAAACTGACTCTGTACTAAGATTAGCTGACCTGTGGGATTGCAGTTGAGGTTAACTTGGCCTACCTATACTGATGCTTTGCTCATTTTCTGAATCTGTATCTAGGGCTGGAGAGGAAATGGATCAAAAAGAAAATCACCCTAAAAACACATGGTGTACTATAGCATTGCCATGGTAGATAGTTTGCATTGGTCTGAAATGTCAAAACAATACAGCTGGATTTGTACTTTTAGATTTTTCATACTTTGAAATATTCTAATAGATTTTAATTTAGTTTAAGTTTATTTAAGTTTTCCTTGTCACACCTGTTGCTCATTAAGGTGTACAGAGATTTTGTATTGTACTCGACTCTAAATAGTACCTGAAAGAGTACAAAAAAGAGCATCAACAGCCAAAACCACACAGACTCTGTGACCTTTTTGTCATTCAGGTAAAAACTGGGTGTTGCCAGTGGCTCTAGCACCAACTGCTATATCTGAAGGGAGAGACGTGGAGCTCAAAGGTAAGAACTGTGACACCTTAAACACCGCACACAACCTAAAATGCAGTTTTAGAATTCATCATAACCTAATATGGCCACTGAAAAAGCAATAAAATAAAAATGAAAAAAGCAATAAAATTAATTTATTAGAATCTTAAATAGCATATTTAAGTAACTGCAGCCTGTGGCCACAACTCAAAGTCTGGGAAAAGTGGAACTAAATGAGAAGATGTCTTTAATTTTCTGCCTCTGTGTAGCTATGTAAGTTTTTACAGACCAGGCTCACACACTTCCTCAGTTTCTGGATGCCAGCCACCCAGCAACGGCAGAGATTGATAGGTCTAAAGTCAAGATTGGAACCGGGCATCGTAGCCCCCTTTTTTCCAGACCCCCTTCTATCCATTAGAAAAACAGCAGTACGACTAAATCCATTTTTGGAGTGAATCTGACTCCCTTTGTGTGGTAATATGTGGCTTTGTTTCATAATACCAGTGTTGTGCCAAGGGAAGGAAAGCTGGGCAAAGCTCACGCAGTCTTTGCAGATGCAGCAGGCCTGTTCTGTTGTAATGAAAATGCTGCTTTATTTAGGCAGGCAGTTTGTGAACCAATCCTTGTTTACAACGACAAAGCCAGGCAAAGTCTCGTTGAAATGTGCGTGAGATTCAGATTAAACACAACAGATTAATTTGAATACGAGGCTTATAAATTGCTAACAAGTATAACAAACAACCGCAAACAACAACAAGCACAAAGCTGTGGCTGATTCAACCGGCAGACCTGCTTATTCATTATTTAGCTTTAAAATCAACACATTATGCATCATTCAAAGTCTCTCAAAGGGAGATTTGTCTGTGTCCATACACTGTGTTTCGGCTTTGTTACAGCTAACAAGCACGAGACGACAACCTGCAAACGACTGCTGGGCTCGACTTTCTTTTTACATTTACATAAATCAGACGTATTCAGGTTGGATTTTGGGGTTGCTTTTATGTCTCACTACAATATTCTATCTGCATTTTCTCTACAATACAAGTCTCATTTATAAATTCATGCATTGCTGTCCTCCTCAGTGACATCACCACCCTATTTTGGCCCTGTCAGTCTTTTATGCTTAAAGGAGACATCATGTCTGTCTCTACTCAGGTCCAGAGATGACTTTTTCAAACTTTTATTTATCCAGGAAAAATATTTGTTAAAAGTGGAGGACCGTGGTCGACTGGTCAGCTCCCTGGTGTGACTGTGTATACATGAACGGTTGAACATGAACTCATGTCCACAGGATTTTTGAGTGCAATAAAAACAGTAGTCGCTGACGGGAGTTTGAACCAGTGAACAGCTGGTGTGAAGCCCACTTCATTCTCTGACCTTTAAAGCCACCTCCATCTCTGTGCCTCGAGAGCAGGACAAGCTCATCGGTGCTGCACGAACAGTTTCCACTGACATTTCCAAATATCCATGTAGAGTACATGACGCACTCCTCAGCACTAACAATGAAGTATCCATAGCCTACATCTGGCACTAGCAGTGGTCAGTGTTGAGGAATGTGTTGTTTTAGTATTTTTGAAGACTGTTAAAAAGTCTCTGCCTCCTCTAGAGTTGAGCTACCTGCAGGTTTATTATGGTTGGAGCTTTTTTTTTCAGATTTGTGAAAAACCACACGCTGAAAGTTTGATTAAGCGTTTTAAGGGTCAGATTAAAAATCAAAACTGAGAAGAAAGTAATAAAATTATGTTTGTTTTCCCATCCTGTCAAAACATGCCCTTAAGCAAGGCACAGCAGTAAACTGTGTCTGTATTTACAGGTGTGAGCAGAGTGTTACTGGCACAGAACATGTGTCTTCACTACATAAAAACAGTGCTGGAGGTTTGTATGCAGTGTTTGAGAACAGAAGGTCCTTTCAATACGTTTCAGATGCAGGACAGTCCAAGTGTCGTGTTGAGAGGAACCAGGCTCTGGAGCAAGCCAGAAGACCTCAGTCTTCAGAGTCCATGTTCATCCCAGAATGCAATGAAGATGGAACATTTGCCCAGGTCCGTATCCAATCATCCGCGGCTTTTTCCTTCCCTTTTAAATCTTTCACGCTTCATCTTTCTCTTTCCATTAGTCTCATGTGTACCCCCCCTCTTCAGATCACCCCAAAATTGAGCTTTTTCTTCACTGACAGAAAAGTCCACCCCCTGTTCTTTATTTACACTCTCATGTGTTTTACCTCTTCCATGTGTCTTGCCTCTGCAGGTCCAGTGCCATACTCTGACCGGTTACTGCTGGTGTGTTACCAGTGATGGCAAGCCAGTGAGTGGCTCCTCTGTGCACAACAGGACCCCAGTGTGTTCAGGTACTAAATAGGGGGGAATCAAGTTGGTAACCTGTTGATGAGGAGCTTTTCCAAATCATCTTAAAACATCTGTTGTATTACCGCACATACAAGTGATGGTTAATTATTTGTGTTACCTGAACAGCTCTACTTCGGAGTATTTTTAACAGTCTGCATGACCAAAGCATCCGAGTTGGTTGGATGTTTCCTGACAATTCCTTGTCGGTATGAAAAACAGAAAAATAAGCTTTTAGACATGATAGTGGTGGCTATGTTTGCTGGATCTTGCAGGCAAGCGTGCTTGGAAGCCAAGTCACTGGGTTTTGGGGCCAGTCAATCATTTTAGGAAGTGAACTAGTTTTCATAATTCAAAAAACATCTGGCAATAATTCTTTTTCAAAGGCTTTATATAATTTTAGGATACTACTGGACACAGAGTTAAACTTATAAATGATGTTCAGGAAGCCTGCCAGTCCTGATGGAGGATAAAGAGTGAACACAGCATTTGGATGACAGTTACAAAAGGTCTGTCTGTAAATGTCGAGCCATTCTATGGGCACATGTGTATTAAATGTCATGTGGCTTACAGCAGGTGCAAGGTCAACGAGAAGGCTAATGGCCATACATGCAGGGGCCTCTCGGCACTCAAACTCTCCCCCCACCTCTAAGTGCTCTCAGCAGGCTGGAGGAGAGAGAGCAAACGGGGCTCTGCACACTCATCCTGGATGGGAACACTTTATGATAATCACCATCATTTTCTCTCAGAAGATAATACACAGCGATCTTTGCCAGAGCTGGATTGCAAAGCCACTAGAGCATATGGTGCAAATTTTGTGTGGAAAGTGCGGTGAAAGTGGTCGCATGCCCCTCTGAAACTGCTCAGCAGACAAAGCACCCCCAACCAAACCTCCCCTTTTCTTTTTCTCTTCAGTTCCTTGATCGATCTCTATCTGCCTAATCTGCTGTGCTTTCTCTTTTCTGTCTCTCTAACTTGTGCCACATTTTTCTGTTTGATGCTTTGAAGAAAACTTCACAAATTGATCATACTTCCATCCACCCGTTACAACAATAAAACCTCACCTTACTGATTTTCCAATTTATGAAGGTATGCTATGACAAAGTAGCTCTAATTATAATTTTTTTGCTCTATTGTTCTCTGCACCAGATGTGTTTTTTAATGGCGCATATACTTCATTTTTCAGTTCATCCTTCACAACAGAAAGTGACAGCAAATTAATTTGTGCAGCCACACAAAACATGTGGTCCTGAAAGCTTTGTGACTTTTCTGTGTTTAACGCTGCAGAAAATTCTTGGTGCTTTTTTCCGTGAGGCTCTGTTTCCTCAAACATCATCACTTTGCAATGTTTGCAAAACATTTTTTACTTCACCCCTGTAAGCCAACTCAGGGAGAGACATTAGACTGAAATGAATTTATTTTGGTGCAAAAAATGAATTTGCTCCAAAACAGAGCTGCACCAAATCATATTTGCTTGTTCTGTTCCTTAACTTACAGGATTTGGAGCTTTACTGTTCATATATGACATAAATCTGTTCTGGATGATTGGTTTGACAAAATAAGCAATGTGAAGATGTAAGTTTGGATGATATCTTTAACTACGACATTCTGACAATCCAAAAATACAAAATACACTGATTGGCCATTTTGTTAGATATACAGTATACTCACATGGTAGCAATTCAGTGAATATAGGCGTGTAGTCATGGTCAAAATGACTGGCTGATGTTAAAAAGGAGCATCAGAATTAAGCAGAAAGGTGATTTTGTTTGTGCCAGATGGGCTAGTCTGAGGATTTCTGAAACTTCTGGCACAACCATCTCTTGGCTTTACAGGTAATAGTCTGAAAAAGAACAAATATCCACTTAGTGGCAATTCTCTAGGCCTTGTTGATGCCAGAGGTCAGAAGAGAATGACCAGACCGCTTCAAGCTGATAAGAAAGCAGTAATTCAGATAACCTGCTGTTACAGCAAAGGTATGCAGAAGAACATCTCTGAATGTACAACACCTTTAACCTTGAAGCAAATGTGCCACAGCAGCAGAAGCCCACACTCGGTGCAATTCCTGTCAGCCTGGAAAGATAGGAAACAGACTGTAATTCATACAGAAGATTGGAAAAGTGTTGCTTGATTTCTGCTTCGACATTTAGATAATAGGGTCAGAATTTGGTCTAAACAACATAAAAGAGTACTTCTTCCCTATTTGTGTAAGTGCTGGGGATATTTTGTTGGCTCACTTTAGGCCCCTTGGTACTAACTGGTACTTGGTACCATAGTTTAAATGCCACACCCTCTCTTAATTATTTTTGCTGACCATATAAATCCCCTTATGGCCACAGTCTAACCATCTCCTGATGGCTGCTTCCAAAGCATTAATGTGCCATGTCACAGAGCTCAGATCATCTTGAACTGGTTTCTTGAACATGACAATGCACTCAAATGGCTTCACAGTCTGTAGATACCAGCGAGTTGCACTAATAAAGTTGACACTTGAGTCTAGATAACAGATTAATTAAAAGCAGTTACACTTAGCAAAGGTTGGAAAGTGCATTCTCGTGTAATCGTGTTTAAATACACTCTTTTTAAAATCCTGAAATGTAGTTTATTGCACAACACAATTTCTACCTGTCTCCTTTCTGTCCTGGATAAGATCCGATATCTTCATTGTTTCTTGCAAAGGTATGTATGACACTGGTGCCTGAATCTGGGCACAATAAACCCACTGGTGTCTCCGGATACTAAAGTTTAACAGTACATGCCCAGCTCATCTGCCCCTTACTATACCTTCCCAATCAAATAACCTTTGACATGCTCAGATGCACCTGTCTACTGTGACCCAAATCAATCATCTCGCATACATTTGCAGGAAACTTCCGTGAATTTATGGGAACTCATGCTGGGACAAGTGGATTGTCAGGTAGTAAATTTCCTTCTAGTTGCTTTAACTTAAAATAGAATCTCCCATTTTTCTCTTCTATTGTAATTGGTTGCACCATTTAATTTTGCCCTGCCCTCCGTGCATCCACGCATGACACCAAATACCTGCATGCACCAAACAAGAATGACATTTAGAACTTGGAATCTTTCATGTTTAATTTCCACAGATGAAGCAGATCATTCAGTTTTGCGTTGGTCTGTATTAAAATTATGCATAGTACTAACAATATGTACTCGTCCACCTAACCAAAAGAAGAGACACCAGTGGATTGGGTAATCAGTAGGAGTGCTGGTTTTTCTGATGTTTCCTGTGTCGACTGTTTTAAAAGAAATAAAAACATATTTACTTGCTGTAAGTTGGTAATTTTTTTATTTATTTTACCAGCTCAAAAAACAACAACAAAAAAAAAACAGTTTTGAAGACAAATCCTTTAAATTTAACTTTACTGGCTGTTACTGTCTAGTCTTTGGTTTACACTGTTTCTTCCTCTTCCCAGGGTCAGTAACTGATAAGCCACCAGGGCCACCAAACACAGATAGAAAAGGTGAGTTGTGATCTGCTGTTATGTGTGCATGTACCCTAAAAGTGTTTTGACCTGATTTTACTCCATGTGATCCATGCAAAGTCAACATTTGTGAAGAACACAAACTTACACGTACTGGCCTTCACTGTTAAAGGGAATCTAAAAACAACACCAAGAGATGTTTCCCCCCTTTTATAAGATGCAAATGATGCTGAATTTATTATAAAGATCTCAAATATATGCACCACTGTCTAATGCATCCCTCAAGTGACAGTTCATCTTTAACCATAGCAGTTTTAACAAATCTGTCCAAAATCTTGACTGGTTTTGCTCAAGTTATGCTTTTTTCCCCACCCTCCAGGAATGGTAAAATATGGAACATTATAGAATTAATTCAAGAAATTAAAGAAACACTGAGGAGACTTTCTACTGAGCCTCTAAAAATCGGTCTTTGCTTCAGAAATCTCACAGAAAACAGATCTTAAGGAATTTCTTTAAACTGAAAAAAAGTGGGCAGTCTCTCGAAGCTTCTCTGCCGATGCCGTTTCACACCACTTGACAATTGCAGTAAGTTACAGGTTATTTTGACATGCTTATCACACTCTAGCAGGGTTTACACATAGACTTCTCATGTATGGTAAATTAAGAGAGATATTTAATAAACAAAACAAAAACGCTGCTGCTCATTCTTTGTTTCACCTGGGTTTACACCAAGACCGACCCAGTGACTACTGCATTTTATTTACAGTTCAACCTGAATAGGTCAGTTTGACCTCAGGTTCTTTAACATTACTGACATGTCATCTGATTTAAGAACTTAACATTAGTGTTTATCTCCAATCAAAGTTTCTCTGTTGTTTGCTTTTGATTGAATTATTTCCCAAGGAATTTTCCAGATGCTACAATACCGCATGTGGGTGAGTATTCTAGGCAGTTCAATTCACAGCATTACATGAGATCCTTTAAAGTTTTGCAACTCTACCTAAAAGCTTAGCTACTTTAAATTTTACCAGTTTTCCCTACAAGGTCACCCTCTTTGGTGCCCCTGGGTTACTTTCAATGCAGCTGCAGTTTTTAGAAATCAGTTCTACTCTAACTGCAAGGGGTATATAAACATGGACTTTAGACTTTTGTAGGGAGCAAACTATCAACTTCTACGTCACTGCAGAGTATAGTGGAGAATGAGAGCTGGGGCTCTGGCTCCTGAGACCAAACAGCAGTTTTTGACAGAAATTTCCATCCAAAGGCAGCAAATGACAGTCACGACCATGCTCATCATTCACAGGGTTTGAATTTGCCTTGAAAGGATCTGACTGACAGCATGGAGGTCTACTATATTGCACAGAGGGAAAAGATTAGGTGTGCACTGTGCACATGGTCACAGTGAATTGAAATGCAGGAGTATTTTCACCTCGCCAATAAAAGCTTTGCTCACCTGCCACTTTGAAACAGTGTGCGATTGTGGGCTACATAGCAAACTCAAAAGTCTTCATGTGATAACAGAGGGGGACTTCCAGAAAGCATTCTTGAATCTTTAATAGGCAGAGTTGCAAAACTTTATAATCACATCTATAAATGTAAAAAAACAGACTTGAAATGTTTTTAGTTTTTGCTTAACAGTTAAATTGTTGTATTTTTGTTATACCCATATGAACTTTAGCATTGCCAGAATTTAATGTGTTTAAGGGAGGAAAGTCAAATATTTAGTTAATAATTTACCAAGAAAATTGAAGACAGCAGTTTATTTGGCCCTCAGTGTGGGAGCAGAGACACAAATATTTTACCAGTGTTTAACTGTAATGAATAAGAATAAACGTTTATACTGTGATCTTCAATTTTATTACTTGTAGTTTTGGTTAGTAGTTAAAGTGAGCTGCATATTTGCATCTGCCAAAAACAAGGGAGTCACGACAACTTCTAAGTCTCCTTCTACACTGGCATATTTTACGAAAGGAAAAAAAGAGGAAAATATTGCTTAATTAGATTCTTCTGTGGCTTATTAGTGTTTTTTATTTTAGTGTCCGAGACAGTTAATTATCTAGTACTTCATGTGTTTTGAAGACTTTGCCCCGAGGATGATGCTTGAGTGATGCGTATCCGCTTGGGAGAATAAATGACCTCGTATTATTTTTGTAAAAACTCGTGTGATTCCATTTTAAACTGGTTTTGTTATATATCCTTCTACTTAACCAAGGTGTGAAGGAGTAATTTTCCAGCGTGACGTGATTGTAAACTAACGATGAGACCATCACCGAATTCACTTTGGTAAATTCCCTGGGCATCCATGAGTATATTATTTCCAAATTTTAATGCATTCAAGGAACTTGAGATCTCACCAAAAACAAACATTTTTGGGCAGACTAACCAGTTGACCTACTTCCTAGCGATACATTACAACATAATTTGACAATTAAGAATGACGACACAGACAGTTTCACCTCTTTGCATTAACTGTGGATGCAGCTTTCTGATGCTACATCTGCACTGCATTTGTCCTGAGGAGCGGTGTCCTCCTCGTGTGAGTGTCTGGGTGTGTGGTTTACACTGCGAGTGTGAGTGAGTGTGCTAAATGTGCAGCTGATCATGTTGGTGTGAGGATGATTTATTGATGCATGTGTGCAGGACCACATGTGGGTGTTTGTCTCTCTCTCTCTCCTTTCTATATTATTCAGTCTGTCTGTCTGTCTGTCTTGGCCGGGCCATGTGCAAATCCCAACCATTCAACAGTTCTGGAGAGTAGATTGTATTAACCTCAATAATAGTAGTCTCTTTCCGTTTCTTTCTCACCCTTAACCCAGATGATGGCTCCAAGCCCACACCCACCATGGAGACTCATGTCCCCCCTGAGGGTGATGGTAAGCCTCCTCAATAACTCCTACACAGTCGCTTAGATAATTAGTGTGCATATGGTATATTTATAATGACTCATAGGTTTAAAGGCAGCTGACAGCATTGCTCCTTTGTGTGCTTACATCCCATGTCTTAAGAATGCACCATTACATCAAATGGAAAAGGCCAGATGTTAAAATACCAAATGATACATTTGATATTTTTGGAAAAACTGGGATCTTGGATGCAATTTTAGCTTTGGTTTTGTGGGCAAAGCTTGGCTGTGCATGTTGCTTTTCAAATAAGTAGCTACTGGTGAGGTTAAATAAAGCACAGCTGTGTGTAAAATTTTCTCGAGATCACCTAAATGTGTGAAAGCTATTTGTCTAGAACTTGTCATTCTGTCGCTGCAGAGATAACTGCTCCAACACTATGGATAAAACAGCTGGTTTACAAGGAGAACAAAAAGAACAGCTCCTCTTCCAGGAAACCAGGTGAGTGAAAGAAAAATTTTCTGCTTATTCTACACATATTCTCTAAAATAAAGGCATTAGGGGTATGCATTAATTTGCAAGTTTGTGTGCGTGAAGCCCTTAAAATATAGCATTGTTGGATGCTGATAAACTCAGCTCTTCTCTGCCACACTTTTTACATACTCAGGCTAAATAATTAGCCATACTGACCTTTGGAAGATATGAAAGCTATCAGAGAAGTTGCTAGAACCCTAAACAAAGTATATATAAACGTGGCTCCGGTGTAACCAGTTTCAAAACCACCAGCTTGCCATGAAATGTAATCTGTTTTAACTTGAAGACAGACCTACACTGCCAGGGTTATGTTTTGTGGTTTCATTCCTTTGGTGTAATTTGTTTAGCTTTCTCTGTCTCCTTTTTAATTACGCCTTGACGTGTCCACTAAACTCTGGGAGGTTTGATGGCTGTACCAAGTCGAGGAGTGAATGAAGTGTGGCCTGTGTGAGCATATGTGTATTAGGAGTAGATGGATATATTGGTTAGCTGATATATATGGGTTGATGTAAATCTTCAAAAGTCTAAAAACAGTCTATTTTCTTCAATAATAAATCTTTCATTCAGACTGTATCTCCTAAAGATGGAAAAAATGGGGGGGGGAAAAGTGCAAATCAGGCACTTACTGTGTTTGTGTTGAGCTATAATGTTTCCACGAGTGTTTAAAAAAGCATTTATGATTTAATCAGACTTTCAGGAAATCAAATACCCATGAAAACTGATGTGGAAGCTTGCAGACTTGTAAGCCCCGTAGTTTTTGCCGTTAAAATACTGAAAGGAAAAAAGAAAAAAATTCACCACATCTCACCAGTAGTTTGTCTGCCCGTCTTCTTGCACACCTCAGTATTTTGCATCTAAATATTGTTGAGGCATCTATGTAATCTCACAACTCTTCTTTCATCCTAAACCTTTTTGTCTGCCATTTACCACAAAATCTGATTTTACATGCTACGCTGCAAACAATGAGGCATACAAATACTTGATTGTACCTTGGGGTTTCCTGGGATTATGAATGATGGTGATGTGGCAGGGGAAACTGTGGTCAGCATTGAGGGGTGTATTTTATCTAAGAGGTATTTGCTGTGACAGCTCTTTGAAACTTCTGTGGAAACACCAGCTTCCCGTTTCAAATTAGCATCCGGTGTCCTCAAAGGACAAGCGACAAGGCCGAGTGAGGGGGAGATGTCATCACATTTGAGGCATGAGCGATGTGTGTGTGTGTGTCTACATCTGCATGTGATTGCAAACCGCGTGTGTGTTTGTGTGTGTTGTCAAAGGAGATTGTGTGCCTGTGCCTAATTTAAAGTTGGAAAGCAAATAACAGTTACTGGAGGAAGTGTACTTAAACCTCTTCTTCTTTTGGCTGCTCCCTTTAGGGGTCACCACAGCTGATCGTCTGATTCCATCTCATTCTATCCCAACCATCCTCCTCTGCCACACCAGCCCTTTTCATATCCTCCTTCACTTCATCCATGAATCTCTTCTCTGTGGTCTTCCTGGTTTCCTCCTGCCTGGCAGTTCCATATTAAACATCCTTTGTCCAATATATCCACCATCCCTCCTGTCTGCACATATCCAAACAATCACAACCGTTCCTCGCTAAGTTTGTCTGTCTTCTCTAATCTTGTCCATCCCGTATATTTAGCGCTGCCCTCTCCAGCTCTGCCTGTCTTTTTGTCAGTGCCGCCATCTCCAAAAAATACATCATAACAGGTCTCACTACCATCTTGTAAACCTTCCCTTCTACACTTCATGCTATCCTTCTATCACAAATCACCCCCTCCACTCTTCTCCACCCACCCCACCTGCACTCTCTTCTTCACCTCTCTTGTGCAGTGTCCGTTGCTTTGGATGGTTGACCCCGGGTATTTAAAATTGTCTCCTTCACTTTTTCACCCGTTTCCCTCTTAGTCACACACATGTATCCTGTCGTTCTTTCATTCCTCTTCTCTCCAGAGAATACGTCCACCTCTCCAGGCTCTCTTCCATCTGCTCCCTACTCTCACCACAGATCATAACATCATAGTCAAGGAAATTCCTGCCTGACCTCATCTGTCAGGCAGTGTCATCCCCAGTGTAATCCCATCCCCACTCTGAACCCATCTGTCATTCCCACCCCACACCTCACCGCTGTCTTACTGTCCAGCAATACATATCCAGCACCACCCTCTCTGCCATTCTCTTGGCATCATATGCTTTCTCTAGATCAGCAAGAACACTGTGTAACTCCTTTTGACCTTCTTTATACTTTTTCACCAATACTCATGAATTCTGATCTTAACCTAGCTTCAGCGTTATCCCTCTATAGCTACAACAGTTTTGCACATCATCCTTGTTCTTGAAAACTTGTATCAGTACACTTCTTCTGCTTACATTCTTAAGTGCACTGGCTCTTTTGTAATTCTTTAATTTAATGAGCTAGTTACCAGTGCTGGGTAATGTTACTTTTAAGAGTACTTGTTACGTTACAAAATATCCACAATATAAATAATTTCTTATGTTACAATGTTACCTATTTAAAAAAATTACTTTTTATTGTACTTTGAGATACCAGCATTCACAATTCTTTGCACATGTTGATTATACTGTCCATGTAGCTTACTGTACATTTCAGATAAAGAAAAGAAGAGGTAAGATATATTTTGTTTTGGTGGGAAAACTCCTTTGTTATAGCAGTTCAAAGTTCACAACAAACATATATGAAATATGTAGAAGGGCATATAACTTACATATAATACAGTATGAAAAATTAATTAGGTAAAAACTAATCTGAAATAAATACAATAAAGTAAAATAAGTATATTTTACTTTAAGTATTAGTAATATTACAATAAGTGAAAAAGCTACTCTCAGTTTAGGGGTGAAATAAACTTAACATGAGAGGGCAGGACTTCTAAATGTAGTGACTTTACCTCATTGCAAAGCAGGTTGGTACTGATAGCATCTCTTCCATTAACAGTGGCAGCTGTAGCATTGTTTGCTGGTACTTTTTAAGGCAGAGGTCACATTTTGCATGTGCATTTTATCTGCCAAAAAAAAAAAAAAAAAAAACAGGAAAAAATACCTCAACAATGTAAAGATTAGGGATGGGTATCGTTTAGGTTTTATCCGATACCGGTGCCAAATCGGTACTTTTGAAACGGTGCCGGTGCTTAAACGGTGCTCGAACCGGTGCTTAAAGAATGGAGAACACAAACTTTGTCCAAAAACCTCTCATGTTCAGCTGTTTTTTTTGTAAAAAGATAACAATGTGTGCCTTTTCTGCAGCTATGTGGCATATATGGTATCACTCTTGGCTGGAAGAAGTGCTTAATCAATGGAAAAAACACAAACTTTGTCCAAAAACCTCTCATGTGTAACTGTTTTCCACTTTTTCTTTGGTCATTTTAGCCTTTTTGGCCAGGGTGAAGGGAGTATCTGCCATCAAACAAGAAGACAGCCGCATGTAGCTATGATGATGTTTGCTAGTTCACCTTACATGCATTAATGTAATAACGTGGTTAGCCTACTCAACGTAAATTACACACGAACAACATGAAGCTACTCACGCAGAGAAGAACGGCTGCTGCTGCATCATCATCCTCATCATTTCTGCTACACTGGCAGGGCTAGGGGCCAGGACTCTATTCTTCGGGTTTTTGGGGGATGTTGCCCCGGGTCCGATAACTGGCAACCCACCCGACGTGCACGGTGTGAGGTCTAGCAGCAAACTATCAAATACAGCGCATTTCTCGGCTTTTAAAAAAAACGCTATGCGTCGCCAGCTGTTTAATCGGATTCTTGGTGTTACCTCCTTTGACAGTATCACAGTATCAGCTTAAAGCACTTGTTGCAGGCTGCTGAGTTTGCATATTTTGCTGTGAAGTACAGCCAGACTTTTGACCGCTTCGCCTTGGGCATTTTTAATCTGTAGCTCTGCTCTAACAGAACTTACGTACCTGGCCCCGCCTACTATCCTCGGAAACGTAAAATGATTGGCTAGAAGTGTATCACAGCTCAGGAAAAAAAAAGCACCGAAATAAAGCACCGAAATGTGCGCTGCTTTTCGGTCTGGTTACCACCGTTTATGTCAGAACGGACACCGGTACCCATCCCTAGTAAAGATCAGTCACAAATTCTTTTAGCTACAAGACTTTGTGGCAACAAAGGAACAAAAACACATCTATCACTTTTACCCATCAGCCGTAAAAGGCTCTCGGACCGTTGTCATTAGCTGGAGGTGTGGGTGCCGTTGACGCCCATGTTTGTCAATGCTGTAACTGGAGAACGAGGCGATATAAGAGTTTCAAATTGATGCCAAAGGTGTATCTACTAAAAATCTCAGCTGGATTTGAATTGCAGTAGCATCAACCTGAAGGTTAAGGTCAGAGGTCAAGTCTTCTGAAAATCTTGTGAATGCGATAACTCAAGAAGGAAATCAATAAATTAAATAACTAATTTGTAATTTGTTAGCTCCAGCATACACAATTACAGCGTGTCTTCTGATTGGTTAGTAAAAAAAAAGTCCATTGTTTGTCTTTTGTTAATATCCTTAATGCTTTGCCTTCTTCCTTTTTAACATGTTTTGAAAACATTAAAACCCTAAAAAGATTTAAAACCCCATTCTTCTTCACTGCAAAAACTGCCCTTTCTCATACTTCATTCATGGATCCATTCTGTCTTTAGAATTTTCTAGCAATTTTGTAATTTTTATAATCATTTAACCAAGAAAAAAAGTACAAGCTGATCATTTAAATGCCACAGCCTAACTTTATGACCACAGTTTATAAATCTTCAAAAGCTTCCACCAGCAGGATAACACACCATGTCACAAACATCAAATAATCTCAGACTGGTCTCTTGAACATGACAGTGAGTCCATTGTACTCAAAATGGCCTCCACGGTCACCAGATGTCATTCTAATAGAGTAACTCCATATGGTGGAACAGGAGATACACATCATGGATGTGCAGGTCACAAATCTGGA